TTTAAAACACATGCTTTTGGGGAGAACTCATTTTGCCACTGTGTGGGTACCAAAGAAATAGTATTACTGTTGGATTAGTCCACAGTATCTGTACAAAACTTTAAATATGAACTGAATGTGATCATTTTTTGTTTTTGTTTTTTGAGCTAGGGTTTCTTTATGTAGCCTGGCTATCCTGGAACTTGATTTGCAGACCAGGCTGACCTTGAACTCGCAGAGATTCTCTAAAGGTGTGTGCCACCACTGCCCAGCCTAAGTTAATAACTTGATGAGCAAAGGCCAGGGAATTTCCCTACCCTAAACTACAAGCTTAGCCTTTGGATTTTGAAATAGTGTCTTACTGTGTAGCCCAGGATGACCTCAGATTTGCCTTAGCCCTGCTGCTTTGATCTCTCAAGTACTGAGATTATGGGTGCGTGCTGCTACAAGCTCTGAAAGAGAATAGCAGACAAGAGATAAACTACAATGGTGGTTGTTGAAAGGTTGATGGTCAGAGGTTACCGTCTATCATGGCCTGACAGCTTTCTCCAAAGCTTGGCAGCCTGGGGACCACCCCAACCCCCAGCAAGACTTTCTGCTCTCTACCTGATCTTCTCTGGAGAATACCCCTGGCCCAGGAAGACTGACACTGTCTGAAAGCTGTCTTTAAGCCTTGATGCCTGCTTTATCTTTAGCATGACCCTCGGCACAGTTCTGTTTGAAGCCTTACTCCTGCTGCACATATGCAAAACTTAAACTTGTATTAGGAGCTTTGCTGTAGGACCCAACTGCCACAATCAAAGCCTCATAGTAGTGTGGTGTGCCACTTAATGCAAAGTAGGGTTTGTCCCTATATGTTCCCTGGAATAAAGTCGGTAGGACTTACTGAAGTCATCTCCCAGAGTCTGTGTCGTACTCACAACCGTCTGAATCCTGTTCCCTGCTTCTGCTGCCTCCTCCCTCGTGAATCAGCGCACCAGCAATCTGGAGGAAACAGCGGGATCACAGGTAGCATTGGGAAAGGAAAAGAAAAAATGAAGTCCAGAAATTGTGAAGATGATTGGAAGGAGTGTTGTCCTAGGAAACAAGAATAATGACAGTATGAGTGGGACCAGGGACTTGTTCCTAACAAATGTTTTTCTAACATTTTAATATTTTTAAGATTATTTTATTATTTTATGTATATGAAAGTGTTCTGCCTCCATATTTGTATGGACACTACAGGAATGCTTGGTACCCAGGGAGGCTATTGGATCTCCTTGAAGTTGAAATACAGAGACGTATGAGCTACCATGTTGGTTTAGGGGCTTGAACCCAGGTCCTCTATAAGAGCAGCAAGTACTGTTAACCATTGAGCCAAACCTCCAACTCCAAGAAGATAATATATTTTAATATTATTGTAAAAACTAATTGACCAACTTCATTATTTTGTCTTTTATGAAAACAAGAATTAAATGTTAATTCTTCAGGGTCAATATCAAAGTAATTTTGCTAATTGCTCCTCAATCTAGAGTTGAACAACAGCCCTCTGGCAGCTTCCTTCTTCTCAGCTCTTCCGTCATCCATCATAGTCTTCATTACAAATATATAGATTTCCTGTGAAGTGTGATCAGAAAATAAAACTTCCTTTTTTTAGGATAAATAGTATCTCCTGAGTGATGAATTTGTTCTTCTCCATTATCTAAGTCACATATTCCAACAAATCCTGTCCATCATAGTTCTGCCTACCACCTGCAACCCAGGTTGTAGGAGTGCTGCGTGCTATTTAAAGATGTCCTGTGGGCATTTCTCCTTTAAAATTAGCGATGGGAGCTGGAGCGATGGCTCAGCAGTTCCAGAGAAACCGAGTTCAGTCCCATCACCCGCATGGTGGTTCACAGTTCTCTGTAACTCTAGTCCCAGAGCATCTGGTGCTCTCTTCTGGCTCCTGTATGCACTCGGTGCACATCCGTATGCTCAGACAAAACAGCAGTTCACATAAAAATAAACAACTCTATAAAAATTAACAGCTTCCAATTACTGCCTTGGCCCAGCACTACAAAAAGTTAAATAGAAGAAAGCAAAGAAAGGCTCTTCCTTGGAGCACTACACCCGTCCACTGTGGTCGTCATCATAGCTTGCACAGGTGTGACTTGTCACAGCCAAAACTTAGTACTTGATTCACGATACCATTCAAAAACCCTCATATAAATTAATCAAGAGGACCCATGATTTTAAAAGGTAGGTGTTTGGTAATTCCTGTTTTATACAAAAAACAGAGGCACAGGACAAAGGTAAGTGATTTTTCTTTTTTTTTTTTTTCCTAGTTTTTCAAGACAGGATTTCTCTGTGTAACCCTGACTATTCTGAAACTTACTTTGTACACCAAGCCAGCCTCAAACACATATGAGTTCCACCTGCCTCTGCCTCCCGAATGCTGGGACTGAAGGCATGCATCACCATGCCCAGCGGTACGGAAGGACTGCTACTGCAGGCAGTCCAGCTACCATCCCCCACCATGAAACAGCTGAGCTGCTGGTTCTGCTGTCTCATTCCCACTCAGCTGTTCCACATCACAGCCCCTTTGCACCGTCTAAATTAGCTCCTAAACAAGGACAAGCTTCATAATGCATCTCTCATTCTTAGACCAGTATACCGATTCAGTGTACTAGTTTATATCCTTTGGTTCATGACCGTATCCTGCACTTGAAATAGTCCCTTAAAAGCAAACGCCCACCTCTCATATGCCAAGATTACATGCACATACCTCATTTCGTGTGGTGCTGGAGGGTGAATCTAACACTTTGGGCATGCTGCGCAAGCGCTCTACTGACTGAGCTGCCTCTCCAGCCACAAGAGTGAACTTTTATAACTAGGAGAGACATCATCTTCTAAACTTGGAAACCATGAGGAAAATTTAATAAAATGTTAATGGGGAGAAGAGGTTAAAACTGGGAGCTGAAGTAGTTAAGAACGCATACTGTACTTGTAGAGAACCTGAAATCAGTTCCCAATACCTCTGCCATATGGCTGCCTGTAACTCTAGCTCCAAGGGAATCCCTGACTTCTATTGTGTCTGCTCAAGGACACACAGACTCACAGAGACAATGATCTAAAGTTGTTACAGGTATTCTTAAAGGTCAAATTTTGAGGTTTTTATTTAAGTAAATTAAAAGTAAGAAAACGGGAATGTGTGGTAGAAGCTTGCCTAGCTAGCACATGGCATCCTGGAACACATCCCTGACACAGGAAGGAGAGGCAGGGCAAAGCCTGAGGTGGGGATAGGCCACCAGGATTCCACTGACTGGAAAGTGAAGCTGACGGGAGTGGCTAGTACAGTATTTTTTGAGATAAGATTCGCCAGCTTTGTTTCTTAACTTTCCAAGCAGTCTTTAGAACTTCAGAAGACTTTAATCATAATGAATTTGGTCCTGTGATAAGAAAGCATAATTAGATACTTCTTATCTCTAGAACTATTTTCCTGTTGTCCGTTAGCAACAATATAGGAGTAATAGCTTCACTCATTAGGAAAATTCTACTGCACCATTTTAAACATTTAAGTAGAGGTGATAATATACTGAACCCATGTAGAGGTGAATAACCGTACCAAGATTTCCACTACTTCTAACTTAACTGTCCCGTTTGGGAGTGTCCAGGGCACTCTCAGATGCTTTGCTTAAAAGCAAAATCTTCAACCATGAAGTCAGGACACTGACTCCTCTCAGCGATCATGTGTGAGAAAGCAAGGAGCAGTGCAACCAGGAAAGTGGCCCCACATCTGTGCAGAGTTCTCACTGCACACTAGCAGATCTAGTCCCTCTGAAAGTCAAGCCAATGCCCAGAGACTCAGCCTCCACCGTAAGTGGGATGTCAGAAATTACCAGGTGCAACGGGAAAGACCAGATCTTTCTTTGGGTCAAAGTTAAATTTATTAACACAATAAAACGCGAAAGACCAGATCTTTCTTTGGGTCAAAGTTAAATGTATTAACACAATAAATAGGTATATGTCCATCTCTCTTTCCTTTATATTTTCGGCATTAAAAATATTTAGAGAGCCAGGCACAGTCAAACACACCAGTAGCCTCTGCATAGAAGAAGCTGAGGAAGGACGATTATTGTCCACAGTGGCCAGTTTCAACTATATAAAAGTGGTGTTTCAAAAGAAGGAGTATAGCCCTGTGGTCTTCTACCCCACATGTAGAAGATTCTGGGTTTGCTCTTCGGAACCATTAGATACGGCAGATGGATCTCTGAGTTCGAGTCCAGCCTGGTCGACAGAGGTAGTTCCAGCACAGCCAGGACTACATAGAGAAACCCTGTCTTGAAAAGCAAAAAATAAAAATAAAAGCTTACAGACAAAACAGCAAGAATAAGCGAATCGTGTATATTTACCCAGAGTTCCTAATTCTTAATACTTTACCCTATTTGTGTTGTTTGTTTTGAGTCAGTGTTCCGTTGTCCTGGCTGGCTTGGTACCCCCATAGCACACACTTCATGTACAC